GGTGTGGCGTGTATACCGGTGGTCCGTAGGGATGATGGGGTGCCGCTGGTGCCGCGTAAGGACACGCAGCTCCTGTCGCTGCGACGGGTGAACCGGCAACTCCCAAGCCCGATCCCATGCCTGGTAACATCGACGTGGCTGCCTGACCCACGGACACGGACATTCCACCCATGTGGTTGCCCGTGGTTGCCCGCCACGGACGTCGCCGCGGCGTTGAAGCAGTTTACGGGACTGACTTGGGTGTGATGATGATGGTGCGACGCGGTTGGTACCACGGAACCCAAGGTATTGACCCAAGGAAAGCCTTTGCCGCTCAGAGGCGATGGCACTTTGGCGGCCCAGTTGTTGTACGTGCTGTACGAACTGTAGAGCGCGTCTGGGTCAGTGAAAGGCTGGCCGATGAAGCTGTTCAGGCTAGCGCCGAAGCCGGGCTTGAAATCTACCGCGTCAGCTGCGGTGTTCGCGTTGCGCGTCTGTTTCCGCCATTTCGCCCGCCTGTTTTTGAACCATACCTGCGTTGACAGAACAAATTGTTGCGTTAAATATAATAGTTTGTGGTAGAAACAATTAATTGTGTTAGTCGTGATAGGATAGACGGTTAGAGGTACGAAGATCAGAGATGTAGTGTTTAGCCAAGCAAAAGTGATGCTTTGTAAATGTAAATGATGGAATTGTACAGTACGCGTGCTCTGTTTTTAAGCTCGTATCAAGAAGGGTCATATTAGATTGAACCAACGAGACCTGCATTTTTTCTGGTGATCTTCTCTTTAACCACGACTAATGGATGATAATAAGTTAATATTTTCGTTGCTACGAAAATTTCACCTTTTGCTTTTCCTTCTTTCGTCGCAAGTTTCTTTGCATCTAACTTTGTTGTCAACACCTATTTGGATTGTCAAAAATCAATGAGCTGCTATGCCTGATACCTATCACTTTCGTACGATATTCTTCTTTTAACCGATGAATATTTAATAAAAACAAAAAAGCGCGACAGTAGCGGCGGCATTTAATTTAAACAATTAACGTATACAACGAATTAGCAGGAAAAATGTCAATAATTAATAGTTTTAATATTTTATATTAAGTGGAACATTTCGTAGAAGAAAATTTTCAAAACGAGGTTGCAGTGGTATGGTCATTATGCATCGATCAAAGTTTGCATTAATCTCATAATACTTTTTTCAGGTGCATATGTTATGCCTACTCAAATGGAACTAAACTAATGCCAATGTAAATAACGTAATAATACTTTTTAAATAAAAGCCTCTGTTTAATCACATCAAACAGAAATTTCAATATTTTCAAACAGAACACGAACCGAGCCGTATCTCAGCCAAGTACGGCCGCGACACGCATCAAACCGAGGAAAACACTTCTAAATACAACAATTACCAGGAAATTATCTTATCTTATCACCGTGAAACAATTATGTCTCGTTGAAAAAGCAATTGCAATCGTGGTCCAAAAAATTCCCGTATCTAAACCGCGCCTACCGGAGTCCCTCTCCCCCGCCAACCTCCGACGTCATTTCTCACTCGTCCAAACTAATCTAAACACCCTACACTTCAACGGTGTAACCCACGCCCACAAAAAATCCACGCGAAATCCTTCCCCTTTTTCCCTAACTATATAAATTTCATCGGTTAACGAATACTGCTTCTATTATGCTTCGCAGCTCTCGTTGAAAAACGGACGAAACGCGCGGGGCTCGCGTTTCTGGTTTTTCGCCAGATTTCGCGCGGAGGACTCGCTCGAGCCAGGTATTACTCATGTTGCGGGACGAAGGCGAGGTTCACACTCGGTAAACGGCCGAGTCCCGAGACAAATGGCAAGAAAACCCCGGCGAGCTCCTCCATCCTGAAATATGATGGCGTTAATTCAAGGCGGCCCTCTCTCGCGTTCGATACTGCGAGGGCGAGCCGCTCGTCAGCCGTTTCCACCCTCTTTCCTTTCCCATTCGCCCTTCAACCTCGACGCCATCCCTTCGCCTTCGGCTCGTTCCTTCGTGTTGCTTTTTCCACGACGCCCAACCAGCTTGCTCTCGACAATTATACGGGTGGTTGCACTCAGATACTCGCGTAACTGTAAGGCAACCAACGTTAGAACGTTTGGTTCGGGTACCGAGGCGAGGGTTCGGCCAGTAGGGTTCGGCGAGAAGGTACAGTAGTTGGTGAAAGTATTCGAACACTTGTAGAAACCTTTTACGAATATATTATGCTTATTATAGGAAACATCTTGAAATTTCGTTGACGTTGCTGCGAGATTAGATCGTTGTGATTATATTGGTATAATTCTAAATCAATTTGGAAACGTACATGGAAGCTGCAAGATATTTGGTGGATATATTTAGTCAGAAATTTGTAAAATAGATTTAGTAGAAGTCGAATAAAAAATAATATACAGAATGATATGTGTATTCGTGTGTATTCATGATTGTACATTCATTTAAAAAATGATTTCTTCTCTTTCATATATCGCAATGAAACTCTCTTACAAACGTTAGATGATATCTTCATGTGTACATCCTTCGAGTATACTCTTTGTTGAAGAAACAGTATTCGTCTGTCCAGAGATTATTTGGCCACTTACAGCCAGCTCGACCGTCGTCGTCGTATTCATAGAGATTGAAACAGCACTGTATGCTAATTTTCTTTTACTAAATTTATCTGTTTGCAGTAAATATTTTATAACTTCTATATACATTTTCAAGTTGCTTCCAAGCTTCCCCATCTTAATCATGAAAATCGTGTCTCGTTATAACGCTAACGAAATTTCAAAATGTTTCGTATAACGCAACAATAAAGATTTGCCACGGTGAGCGTTCAAATACTTTTGCGAGCCACTGTATCTGCTTCCAGTTGGCGAGGTGAAGTTTTGAACGAAAAAGGACGACAGGAAGGAAGGAAGATATCGAGGGAGAGAAACAACGAAAAAGGTTGGAGGATCCTTCGCAAGATGGATGGTCGCACGATCACGCCGTGAAAACGCTAAGAGGCGAGACGAGTCATTGAAAGAGGGGAAGAAGACTGGCTAATGAAGAATAATGCCCTGCCTTTTGCCGATTATTCTCGGAACGCAGCACGTAATCGCGCGAGGTCAAGAAGCGACGTTATGATGCGTCGGATCGAAAGGATTACCGATGCGGTTTTAATGGAGATCTTTGTTCGAGCTTTTTGAGCTGGCAGGAATTAGAAGCCAAGTTCCTCCGGATTACTTTGGAATGATTTTGAGCCTCGTGTATTTGTCTGTGAGCGTAGATTGCGAAGACAATTTTCAAGCGAGTATTTCGAGGAGCATGAAATTGTAATATATTGAAATGATGGAACTTTAGAAATTGGATGGCTGTTATAATACTTTTAACGTTGACTGGTTAAGATTAGCACGTTGAATATGACAACGTTATAACGTTACGAAAATTTGTAACGCGAGGTTAAAGAAAAATTGGCCGAGATAAGTTGGAACGTATGCCATGTTATTATATGTTATAAAACTTATTGTTTATTATTTCATAGGTAGCAAAGATTTACCAAATCTTGCAGTATCCCCAATCGTTAAACATCTCGTCAACGATAATGGAACTCCGCGAACAACATCGAAATCCAAAGACCGTACGACTTTCCTCCCCTATGAATTTCACGAAAGAGCAGAGTATCTCGTGGCGCGAGAAAAATATTTCCCCTTCGTACGGGCGGCGTATGAGCAAACTTTCCTTGCTGAGCAGGAACATCATTGGATTTCACGAAGCAACCCCGTAGACATGACACGGGGCGACGGTAAGCCAAAAGAGGGGGAGTAAACTCGATAGGACAGAACAGCGGCCGAAAGATGCCGTGGCTCGAGAATCAATAAACTCTCGGAAGGCGCGCGCGAGTCGTTTCGTATACACACACAAGACCGCGCCCATAAACTTTAACAGCATCGCAGAATTCGAGTCGACTCTGCTGGCTCATAAGCTTGATGAATGAACTTTCGAATCGCGCCCGTCACGATAGAAGTCGACGGATTAACCAGCGTGCTGATAATTTTCGAAAAACGATCTTGACCGGCGTTAACCGCAACCACAGCGGCCATTTGTATTTTAAAGCTGCAGGGAAAAAGATTTGGATAGATACATTGGCCCGTGAAAATATTTTATATGAAAACCGCGAGAAGATATAGAAAAATAGAAATAAATTCGTTCTGATCAATCGACTTCCTTTAAATCAAATAAAATATATCAAAAATTCACGACGTTCTTATTAAACGATTGTCAACGGTGAAACTACAGGAAGAATTTTTACAGGTAA